TCGGTGCCGCGTGCGGGCCCCGGGGCGGGGCCGCAGTCCTGGCCCCGCCCCTCCGGCGCTGACGTCGTGGAGCCCGAGGCGCCGGCGGGGCAGCCAGTCCGCCGGAGCGCGAGAGCCGGGTGCCGGGGCGGTTGGCGGCGCGCGCCGGGGAGATTGAGGCGGAGGAGCGCGCGGTCGGACGGCCGGAGCGGTTACCGCCGGGCGTCGCGGACGGTGTCTTGTGGCGGCCTCGCCGGCCTCAGCGTCCGGGCCGTGGCACCGCGCGGTCCTCCCCCGCGCCCCCTTTGCCAACGTTAGGCGTGGGGCCGAGCCCGCCGCCCGCCCCCCAGCATGCGCACCTCGTACACCGTGACCCTGCCCGAGGAGCCCCCGGCCTCCCCCTTTCCCGCCCTCGCCAAGGAGCTGCGGCCGCGCTCCCCGCTCTCCCCCTCCCTGCTGCTCTCCACCTTCGTGGGGCTCCTGCTCAACAAAGCCAAGGTACGCGGGGCCCCTTTCTGGGACCCACACAACGGGGGACTGGGCTTCCGCCTCCTCCCCCGGACGCCCCCCAGCCCCATCTGCCGCGCGCCCCCCCCCCGCCGGGGGGGGGTACCGATTCTTCCCAGCCCCACCCCTCCTTTCCCAGGGTCTCCCGGCAAGGAATGCCCCCTTCCCAGGTGATCTCAGGCTTACTCGCGGCCCCCTCCCCTGGTTGAGGTCCCAGCCCCTGAGGTCCCCCCTTCCCCTCTTCCTCTCCCTCTCCGTGACCCGGGCACCAGGTGGCCCTCGGGCTCTTAATTCTTGGCACCTCTCAGGACAGGTGCAGGAAAGCGTAACCTTGACTATTTCTCTCTGTGTGAGGGAGCCGGCAGCACGCTGGACTCTGCGGCCCTGACTCCTCCAAGGCCAAAACCCAGCAAGAAAGGCTGGTGGGCAAGAGCCGCCCCCTCCTCACTGGTCCCCAAGGGCGCTCTTCCGAAGGGTTGGTAACGGGGGTCCTTTGACCCTGTGAAGGGCAGAGGAGTCGCAGACAGGTGAAAGAAGGCAGCTTCTCTTTCCTTTTCGGCCCTCCCCCAGTTCTGCTAAGTGGGCAGTGGATCTCTCAAATGAAGTAGCCACCCCAGGGTCATGCTGGGGCTGGAGGTTGGGCACTGCCCCCTTGGGGAAGGGAGAAGGGGCCAGAGCTTGACAGATCTTATGTAACAGGCACCGGCTCCTGAGTTGGCAGTGCGTGCACTGCCCCGTGCCAGGGCCACACCAGGCTCCTTGGCCGCAGCCAGGACTCATGGCTGACCCTCATGGCACAGGTGAAGTAAGCAGGAAGGCCCTTTACCGGGGTCTTGAGTGTGAAGACACAAACCTGAATCAGCCTTGCTTATATGACCCCCCTCCTCAAACGTTTCCTCCCCATTAACCCAGAGCGGGCTCTTCCTGAGCCCCCTGCTCCTTCACGGAGGGTGAATGCTGTCTGTTTACTAACCGTGGAGGTGGCATCGACTTTTTAGAGCAGTGGTTGCCCCTAAGTCAAGGTTAGGTTTGCTGATGGCTAATTTTAAGGAAGTTCTTGATCCAGACTCTTTCAAGCCTTTGCACATGCATTCCACATAGCCGCTGGAGTCATTTCCTTCTCTCCCTGTGAGAGGCTCACTGTGTGGGGTCTCTCCCGACCTCTCGAGTTCTAGCCTCTCCCTGTTGGCCCTGAGGTAGGATTGTTTTCCCCATAAGAAAGGTCACTCCTGGGACATTTTGTTCCTCTCTGGAATGGAAAGTGCTGACTTTCCCTGGAGCTCCTGATTTCCTATTCATGGCAGAAGAATATCTGGCTGGGCATAGAACAGCCCTGCTCTCCCCTCCACTCCCACCCTCCAACTCCTCTCATCCAGCCACCTTCTACACAGAACGCTTAGAAATTGGCAAGTAGTTTTGAACTTAGGAAATTTTAGACAAAGGCACGAGCCACCCCCACCCCCTACAAAAAGAAAAACGAACAGAGGGTCCTGGCAAAGCCTTAAAGGAGCCTTCCCCATCTCTCCACCTGCCAGGCCATTAGTAGGGTTAGATCCTCAAGAACAGTAACCATAGGTGGGGATGTGTTGTTCTTGACCCTCACTGTGCTGGGTCAGAGTTAAAAGTGTCAACACCGCAGAAGTGCCTCGGTACAAAGGCGCCTCTAATTTTCCATTGCCCTGCCCCCATTAGGGCTGAGGGACTGTCTCAGCTGGAGACGCACTTTGGTGCACATTGATATGAACACCAGGCTTTACTTCTACAGCCCTTTAGACAGATGTTGTCTGAGGCACAGGGGGTAAGAACTAACAAGCACCGCCAAAAATAGGAGTGAGGGTGGATCTTGGGGGAGGGGAGGACGGGTATCCTGTTGTGGACAGGCTTTAACGTTTAGTTCCGAATGGGCAACACCGAGACTTTAGTGTTTTTGTTGGGCCCCAGGGGAGTCCTTCTCCAGGTTTACCTGAAAATACTGATAAGGTCTTTGTCCAGGGAATTATCTCTGGTGTGGTCCTCTTACTGGAACATCAGGGTTTAGACTGTCAGAAAGGTAAGATTTAAATTTTGTGTTTGGGGCCATATACTGCTAGCACTGGCAGAGTTCAAGGATGCTTATGCCCACCTGCTGCCAATAAGCTTTGCTCGCTAACTGCAGGTGGAAACCAGGTCTCTCTCCGGAGTATATTTCCTTTCCTACCTGTTAGTGTTAGACCTGATCACTGGCAAGAAGGGATCCTCTTACTTGTGGGATCAGCAGGGCAATTCCTGAGAAAAGCCCTCCTTCAGCCTGCCTCTCCCCACCCCACCGCCTTGAGCTGACAACCTCATGGGCTTTGAGCTGCTGACAGCTTCAGAGGCTGTCGGCACACGGCATGAGTAATTTTAGCTGAGTTATTTCAGGCTCCTGTTCTGATCAGGGTTGAGCTGGCCCCACGCATGCCCCAGTCAGTGTTGCTCCAGAGTTGCCGGCTCCCGAGTCCCCTCCCTGAGAGAGGGGGTGGCAGCCTCATCTGCACACTGTTTCTTTAACCCTTTGAGCCCGAAGGTTTTCTGACTCCTTGGAGGTAGGGCCAGAATTAGCCAAGAGACCTGGACCTAGGAGCTGTCTCCCTTCAGACCCCCTCACCAGCCTCCACAATAGGGACAAGAACAGGAGTGGCACCTTCAGCCAGGTGCTTACCTCTGCGTGGCCACAGTCTGCCGTCAGAAGGGTTCTCAGCTAGGGACCTGTCAGGATGCTGAAACCTGAGCCAGGCAAGGAGGATTCTCCCAGGCTTTAATCAGCCTTTAGGAGATGAGCTCAGCTGAAAGGAATTCCACCTGTCTCCGACAATTCAGAATGGCAGGCCAACTTCAGTTTTCCCCGGCTGAAGATCTTAAACGCACTTCAGATGTTTTGTCGTTGAACATTTCAAGCTCTCCTTGAAGTGCCCGTTACGACAGCTGCTTCATGTATTGGACATCTAGGGGTAGAAAAGTGGGTCATTTGAGATAGTGCCCGGATGTGGGACCCAGCGTTCCCTGTAGCCGGGAATCAAATACACGAATTCCTAGGCTCTAGTTCTAATCTCCAGCCTCCAGTATGGCAGAGAATGAAGAGGCATGTACAGATTGGGGGAAAACACATGTCAACAAAAGAAAGAAAAGCCCTGAAGAATATTTGTGTTGTGTGTTGAAGAGAGAATAATGTGTGTGCCTGGTGCTCCTGGCTCCAGCTAGCAGATAGTTGCATGAGCGAGCCTAGCACACAGGCCCAGCCTCTTCGCCTTCAGCCTCATATGCCATGTGTTCTTTGCCTACAGAATTCTAAGAGCGCCCAGGGTCTGGCTGGTCTTCGAAACCTTGGGAACACGGTGAGCTCTTCCCAGCCCACTTCTTTCCTAAGGCCACCTCCTACTGTCCCAGTGGACATCTGACCAGAAGTTCTCTCCTGTCTCGGGCTAACTCCCTATCCTCTAGAGGCCAGTTGATACCTGCCCATCCTGGCTGGTGGGTTTTACAGAACGGCTGGCGCTCTGCCTCTCTCCTGGCCCCCAGCAGGAAGCACTGCTAAAGGGGAGTTGCCCTCTTCACTGTCAGCTACTTTCCTGGATCCTTCTCCTGAAGGACATCCATCACTTCCCACCCACTTCTGTCCAGCTCACCCACACCCTTTTGTACACCTCTGCAGTCAATAACCAGTTACGTCACCTGTGCGGGCAGTGGGAATTGGCCTCATGACACCCCTTTCCCTTACAAGAAGAGGAACTTGAGGCTGTGGGAGCGTTCATTTCTGGGGTAGATGAACCAGAGGGCCTCTGGTACTGGGTAAGTGGACCTGCCAGACCAGGCTCTGTCTTACGGAGTGGATGATCTCTTGCAGTGCTTCATGAACTCCATTCTGCAGTGCCTGAGCAACACCCGGGAGCTGAGGGATTATTGCCTCCAGAGGCTCTACATGCGGGATCTCGGCCACAATAGCAATGCACACACAGCCCTCGTGGAAGGTGAGGGGTCCGGCCCCGGACACTTGCTCCACACTGCTCTTGCCATATTAGTAATTGGATGTTATATGTATCCCTCCTACTTTTCTCTCTTTGCCTTCGTTTTGGTGGAATTCTAGTTCGAGTTTTTTACAGAAAATGTCTCACCTGTCCTCCATGCCCCCTCTCTACCCTCTCCTTCCAACAGAGTTTGCAAAACTAATCCAGACCATATGGACTTCATCCCCCAATGATGTGGTGAGCCCATCTGAGTTCAAGACCCAGATCCAGAGATATGCGCCACGCTTCGTTGGCTATAAGTAAGAGCCTTGCAGATGTGTCCTCCCCGGGGTGGGTGCCAGCCACAGCAGGTTGGTTCTTGGAATGAGAGGTATTGCTCACTCTCTTTCCTTTGGACTCAGTCAGCAAGATGCTCAGGAGTTTCTTCGCTTTCTTCTGGATGGGCTCCACAACGAGGTGAACCGAGTGACAGTGAGGCCCAAGTCCAGCCCTGAGAACCTCGATCATCTTCCGTAAGAGGAGAATGCTGTGGGTTTTTGGCTGGGAGAATGAACTTGAGTTTTTGGCTGACTTTTTTGGGGGTAATAATTTGGAGAGAATTTTAAATATTAAGGAGTTAGACTGATGGACCCGTAAACTTGTCACGGCATGAGCTCTGACCTGGTTGTCTCCCTCTCTCTGGTTCCTAGTGATGATGAGAAAGGACGACAGATGTGGAGGAAATATCTAGAACGGGAAGACAGTCGGATTGGGGGTAAGCGCATGAATGGGAGGAAGGCCTGCTTTCCCTGTTAACTGCTTTTGCCTGAGCAGAGCCTGAGCATGAAAAGCCCTAAGAGTCCTCCTCTCAGGGGACCCTCCTCCTGCCCAATGGCCCAGGGACAGAGGCAGGAGCGCTGAGCAGGCACGCAGCCCAGAGAAGACGCGTGCTCCTTCTCCAGGTTTAAGCTCCGCTGTCCCATCTCTCCTGCAGACCTCTTCGTTGGACAGCTAAAGAGCTCCCTGACGTGTACAGACTGTGGTTACTGCTCTACAGTCTTTGACCCCTTCTGGGACCTCTCACTGCCCATCGCTAAGGTGTGTGCCCCTGCTGCCCCACGTGAGAAGCGCCCCCTCTTCCCTTCTCGTGTCGTCCATCTCTGTGACTTCTACTCTTTGTCTCTCGCAGCGAGGTTACCCTGAGGTAACTTTAACGGACTGCATGAGGCTCTTCACCAAAGAGGACGTGCTTGACGGCGATGAAAAGCCAGTAAGTCCCCCTTCCATGGGATCAGGAGCACACATCCAAGAGACCACTCGGGGAAGGCCCGTCCACGGCAGATGCAGCCTGCGGATTACTGGGCTTGGCCCCCGACCCCCCGAGTCCTCTGCAGCCCTGTTTGTCGTGTGTTGCAGACATGCTGCCGCTGCCGAGCCAGAAAACGGTGTATAAAGAAGTTCTCCATCCAGAGGTTCCCAAAGATCTTGGTGCTCCGTATCCTTACCACCCACCATGGCAAGGGCTTGCCTTTAGGGAGTGACTGAGGGTGAACAGAGTAGGAAAAAGGCAACTTGGTAGACTTTCCTTTCCCCGTTTGCGCTTTTGCTTCTGAGAAGCACTTCACCCTCTCAGGACTCAGTCCCCTTTACTCTGACTACCCTCGCCACCCTCTCTTGTCCTTGACTCACGTCAATCCCAGATCTGAAGCGGTTCTCAGAATCCAGGATACGAACCAGCAAGCTCACAACATTTGTGAATTTCCCACTAAGAGACCTGGACTTGAGAGAATTTGCCTCAGAAAACACCAGTGAGTATTTTTAGCTGGGAGGGCAGAAACAAAGCACAGGTGCCTAAAATCCAGATGAGAGGCCAAGAGGTAGAAGGAAGCTGCTGAAGAGCAAGTTATGAAAATCAGGAATAGAGGCAGGAAGGAGAGGGAAGGTGGGGCAAGGAATGCTTTGGGGGCCTGAAACCTTGTACTTCCCCCTCAGACCACGCTGTTTACAACCTGTACGCTGTGTCCAATCACTCTGGAACCACCATGGGCGGCCATTATACGGCCTACTGCCGGAGTCCAGTGACAGGCGAATGGCACACTTTCAATGACTCCAGGTGAGACACAGCTCTCAGGCAGGGCTCCTGGCTGCCAGACACCTGTACCTCACCCACCTGTGTGGCTTCCACTTTGGATAGACATCAGAGCCGAAAGTCCATGTGATACATCCGAGTCTACTGCCCCTTTGCAGAATTTCTTAGAAGACCGCAAAAGAGGTTGGCTTCAGGGACACCTAGGGAGAGGAGCGATGGGCCCTCACGGTCCTTCAGCCACTCCGTGTGTGTCCCAGTGGCCCCCTCTCCAGGGCTCTGACTTCCCTCCACCCCTCTCTCCACAGCGTCACACCCATGTCCTCCAGCCAAGTGCGCACCAGCGACGCCTATCTGCTCTTCTACGAATTGGCCAGTCCACCCTCCCGCATGTAGCAGCGAGGAGCTACATCCCTTTCTCCCTTCCCTGTGGTGGCCCCACACCCTAAGTTTTTTTTTTAAGACAAAAAAAAACAAAAAAAAACCCTGACAAATAAGAGAAAAATAAAGTAAACTAAAGCTGCCGAGCAGGAGTTGCTACAGCCTGGTCAGGGTCTGGAGCTGGGAGCCGGGAGCTCCTGAGCCACACCTGGCACGAAGATCGACAGGGCACAGAGCTTGGAGCCAGCACAGTGCCCCCTCGGCTTCTCTTGTTTGCATTTTTAAGCTTGTGGTTTTTTTCCTGTGTGTAATAAACAACGGCGGTCTGTGGGGAGAAGATCCTGGTCCACTTGCTGCCCTTCCAGCCCCCAGTTCCTCCCGAGAAGACAGCGCCCTCTGGAGCCTGCTGGGAGGATCGCTGCCTGGAAGCACCGGCGCCGGAACCTGGCACCTGTCTTCACTGGACCCCGCTCACCGGTCCAGAAGCAAGAAAAACACCCATGAGCCAAGAGCCCTCTTAACGCTGCTAACTCCAGGGGGACAGACAAGAGGATGACTTTGAAAAAAGCTGATTTTGGTTTTTAGAAACCCAACTTTTTTTTTTTTTAATTACCATAACTAAAATTTTCAGACTGGAGATGCTCTCCTTCACACCTCTTCACAGCTGGGACGTTGTGCTGGTCGTTTTGTTTTGTTTTTTTTTCCTTCAAGTACAGCTTTTCTAATGCTAGCCCCCAGTGGTGCTAGGTGGGTGTTGGCCAGGCCCCAAGCACAGCCACAGTAGACCCGGGATCTAACAAGTTTTGGGGTTTTTTTGTTTTTTGTTTTTTAATGTTTTGGATGGAATCTAGTTGCCTCCAAGAATTGTGCCTTATAGCATTTGGGGACCAGGGGGTAACTGCCCCTCCCTGAAATATCCCTCAGCCTGTTCCCTTTTCCCCAGTGCCATGTTCAACCCCGCTGGGGGAGATGGGGGTCATACCCTTAGCCCCTGGCTCAGTTTGCATTGCAGTGAGGTGGAGCGGAGAGTAGGTAGAAGGAGATTTCTTCTGGTAGTGTATCAAGTTTTTCCTGCCCACTCCCTCTAAGCCACCCCTGGTCTACTCCCCCAGCTGTTTGAAGGATAGCACAAGCCCCTTATCCCTAGAGTTTCTCTCACCTTTAATTTATTCCCTTTTAACGTGCTTTCTCTTCCTGACCTTCGTGCCCCCACCCCTTCTCAGAGCCTCCTAGACATAGGCCCTTTGGACCGAGTTTCTCAGGGATGCCCATGCCGCCCCTCAGCCCTTCTTGGCATCGGTCTTCAGTCCTACCCCGGGAGCTGGAGCCTGGGTGTTTGGGGACATCTTGCCTCAGCTGTACCATTCTTTCCCACAGGTGTGATTTTGCCCTGAGTAGTTGGACAAAACTCGGTGCTTCACAGAGAATAAAGCTGTTCAGCACCAAGGCACAGAGCTCTGTGCATCCACACGGCTGGGCCCAGCTTGTGCCCCTTGGAGCCTGAAGCTTTCCAGTGCTCCCAGAAGGAGGCATCAGAGAAAGACGCCCCAAGTTTAACTGGCCTGACCCCCTTCCCCAGGGAAGCCCTGTGAACCTGAGCCAAAGGGCTGATGTGCACTTGTTTACTGTGTAAGCAAGAGTAGAAGAATGTCTGATGTCCAGTGGAAACTTGTATAGAATAAATAATAGCTTTGAGAAGTTGGTAAGTGACGGCATCTTGATTTGGGAAGGGTCTGCCCCCAGGAAGCACTCTGAGCAGATTAGTCACCACGTATTTTTACCGCTTCGACTAGACCATGAATTCCAAGTTCTCGAACACGTTGCCCACTGTTTAGTCTAAATTTTTCAACTCTACAAAACTGAACTAGCACACATTTTGAATGCTCGATTCATCTGGATTCACCAGTTAACAGGTTGCCACACTTGTCTCTAGATACTTGGGGGCAAAACACGTAGGGGTGAGGGGTCACTACTACCTCTACTTCAGCATGCGTCTCCCACGTAAGCCCAACACCGTCTTCACCCATAAGAAATGTGTAGCCAGCAGACGCTTTATGTGGACTCGTGGTTCCCGTGACACTTGGGTGCCCGTACAGACCTAGGACAAGCTCCAGCAGAGGCTGGCTGTAACCAGGTTTGCTCTCGGAGCAGAGGGGCTGTACCAGGATGTGGAAGAATCAAGACTTGGACCTTGATAAACAGGAGACTTCAACTTGCCCTATTAATACCTAGAAAGAGCCGCTTTGACATTAAAGGTCTTGTTCTCCAAAGTGCTTTTTTCAAGGTTTAAACGGACTTAACCCTTTAAAGAGATTGCCTCTTTGGGGCACTTGGGGACTTGTCTCCTTTGGTTTTATCTTTTAGCCCTTAGTACTTACTGTTCAGACTTTCCCTTTCTGCCACTGATTTTATTTTTTTTAATATTTAAATTTATTCATCTGAGACAGCGAGTGAGAGCATGAGCAGGGGGGAGCGGCAGAGGGAGAGGGAGAAGCAGGCTTCCCGCGGAGCAGGGAGCCCGATGCGGGATTCGATCCCAGAACCCTGGGATCATGACCTGAGCCGAAGGCAGACACTTAACCAGCTGAGCCACCCAGGCGTCCCTCTGCCACTGATTTTAGAACTCTGGAAGCTGAAGCCTCCTCCAGTTGATCTTAGAGTATTCTATCGGGACTTTTCCTAGCTGCCTCCCTGCTCCAGACACTGAAAAATCAAGGCCTGTCTATTCCATCTTTGCTGAGACAGCAGTGCCTGCTGTCAAACTCACATTATGGGATGAGACAGTGGTGGGAGCATTGCTTCTGGGCGTTTCCCAGAAGTGGGGAAAACAGTGACTCAAACCCTAGGATTTCTCCCTGGCCTGCCCTGGAAGAAGCCTGACCCAGGGCAAGATTTTAAATGCAGATGATTTCCCCCCCAAACCACAGGTCAACAGGATGGTCTTCAAAATGGAAACAGGCTTCTAGCAAAGTGGACGGGTGAGTCCCAAACCAGTGTAACTTGCCGCGCTTCTCCCTTGACTAGTTTTTCACTGGATGTGGACAGCAGAGGTGGTTTCTGTTGTTTTCCACAGGCGAGCAGAGGACTACAGGTAATGCCCCGGGCAGGGTCTCAGCCCGCTGCTCCACCCTTGCTCCCAGCTCTCCCTTCTGTACTTAACCTGTGGTGCTTTCTCATTCCCATGGCAACACGTCCCAGCGCCACACAGATCCCAAACACAATCTGTCCCTGTGTTTCTTTATCCATCAGCTTTGCCTCCTAGCAACTGGGATTTCTGCCCCCATTCTTTGCTTGCATTCCAGCAGGCCTCCCCCTGGGGAGGAAGGGCGGCTCTCCCCATGCAACTTCTCTTGTGTGACCTTGAGCAAGAACGTCCCTCTTTCTGGGCCTTGTGCCTCATCTGCGTTAAGGAGATTGGACCTTGAAGTTCTCAGCTCAAGTGTCTTCCTCCTAAGTCACTTGTCTAAATACGTGCCTCAAAGTCCCAAGTCGGGGCCTTTCGTGCCTCTGGTCTCAGTTTTTGAGAGTTACTCTAAATTCTTTTTTAACGACCAGTGCTCAGAAAATACATTTTCCTTTCTGTAGAGCTTTAGAGTCAGGACCATAGAGGTCACCTTGTCCACATTCTCATTTGGCCAGTGAGGACACAAGCACTAGAGAAGCCTGGCTCAAGTCCACTGGTTTGTCAATGGCAGAGGCAGGACAGTTCTCTTTCCATCTGAGTACTCTGAGTACTCCGCCTTTTGGGTGAATAATTGACAGCTTTTTGCAGGGTTTTCTGCAGCAAATTTTCCAACCTTGTGTCTGTTAGGAACTGAGCTGAACAGCAGGGTAGCAAGGAAACTCCCCGACTCCATCCACACACACCCAAGAGCAAAACCAGCACGATCTCTCACAGACCTGGGCCCGGCAGAGTCTGGGCCGAGCACCACTGAGGGCCCCTGTCCTTCATCGCTCTAGAGGCAGAAACGAGCACCTGAGCGGGAGGCAGCAGAAAGAGACCAGCCTTTAGAGTCCAAGCCAATTACTTAATCGCCCCGAGCTTCAGGATCCCCCTCTGTAATCTGAGCATGACAATACCTACTCAGAGCCGAGCTGGGAGCACACTAGGTATTCAAATGTCCATGTCCCACAAACAGCCCCACGTTTGCAGGACTGCGCCATCAACATTCACAGTCTTAGTGGGTGATGCTCAGCCACCGTTTGGTTCCCCTAGCCTCTCAGGATGCTTGTGCCTTCTTTTCTCCTCCGAACAACATATGATAAAGGCTCGGGAATGCAAAGTACAGTGCTGCCCAAACCAGAATTAGTGAAGTAGAGCCACAGAAGGGACAATCCAATCCAAGGGATGAGCCTTTCTGATTGCCTGATATTTAGCTCGCCCTGCCTCTTGGAGATCACGGAAGGTGGTCTGGAAAGGAGCTGCCGTCTTCCAGGCTCCTAGAGACTAGGGGAGATCCAGAAGCCAGGGCATGAGGGTGAAGGCGAGGGGTGGCAGTGAACAAGGGCCCGAGGAGGAGCACAGCACAACTGACAGATTTGGGTGGGGAAGAAGAGTCAGACCCGAAGGCACACCTCCTGCGCCCGCCCTGGGAACAAGGGAAAAAGGCATTCTCAATGAGAGGACAAGCCTGGGCCCTTGTCTTTAGCAGGAAGGACACAGCATGTCCCAGGGCCAGTGAGGAGGCTGGTCTGGCAGGAGTGGAAGTTTGAGCTAGAGAACTAGCAGGAGAGAAACCTAAGGAGCCGGGAGTCCCAGAATGTTCTAGCCGAGCTCAGGCTGGCCTCACCCTTCCTGGTGACGGAAGAGCCACAGAGAGTCGAGGAGAAGAGAAGGCTGTGTGGGGTCAGCCTGGGGGAGTTACAGGGAGCCACGCGGAAGCCCAAGAGAGCTAGACACCGCTGGAGCAGCGACCTAGTTCCCCTTGCCCAGAGGATGGCCACAGAAAACAGCAAAGCCAGAGAGAAGCTTCCAGCACAGCCTCTGGGAAACTGCTCTGTGCTCACAAATGAAAAGGCAAATAATGTTTTAGTGTCATTATGGAAATGCTTTTGACCTCTCAAACCCTCTAAAA